CTTTTTAACTTGGTAATCATCAGTTGTTTACAAGTTGAATTTGATAACCTCCTACAAAATATCACGTGGCCTACTTGGTGGCAACTAAAGGCAACGCTTCGTATCCTTTTATTCTTTTTGTTGTACAAGGGTTTTTATTTGTTCTGGTCCATTCTCATTCTTCGTATTTCACTTTTTCAAGTGCGGATGGGTTGAGAAAATCTTCAGTGCATGGGCTGACTGTGGTGTCACAAAGAGCGTTGAAAATGAAGTCAATACATTGATATATATTTTACTATGTTGGCAGCTCATTCTTATGTTGTTTTTTTTTTTTTAATTTAAAAATGATTTCAAGATTGGCGGTTGGATTCTGTCAATAATACACAACTAACAACAACTTTGCAACGTTTCACGGCCCCTTGAAGTTTCAGTTCGGCTTACAACTCCAAACATGAGTGAGAGTGCATTCCTACTCTCAGAGTTTAGTCATAGTCTAATGTTTACATGTCTGTTATCAGATAAACTGGATGGTATTCGTCCCATGAAGAGAAGAAGACAATCGTCGCCAGTTCCTTCGCTCAGTGACGATGATGACGATGATCCTTATGATGAGAAAGAGGAAGACATGAGGATCGGCAAAAAACGGGTACAAACAACATTGATTAATGAAGGGGAATGCTACTGAAATATTATTGTTTGTATTCACTACACTAAGTCAGTAAAAAGCAAGAAAAATGCTGCTGATTTGTAGAATGTGTTCTTGTGTTGCTGTGTGTGTGTGTTGTGATGGCAGCTGTTGCTGCAGTGATGGTGGCTATTACACGTATTATTACGTGTTTATTGTGCTTCCTTGCTTGCTTGCTTGCTTGGTGCTTCTTGTAGCTCTGAATGTTCAGCTATGTTCACGGTGTTGTGTGATGGTGGCTGGAGTTGGAACTGAAAGGTTGGCTATATTGGTAGCGCTTATAGTTGGTGGTGGTGTGGTGGTTGTATAGCTGGAGATGTTTTGATTGTAGTTGCTAATGTTGCGATGGTAGTGGTCAAAGTCGTTGTCATAGTGGTAGAGGTTTTTCCTTAGTGTTGCGGTTGATGGCCTCGGTTGTTATTGTTTAAACATCTTCTAAATACGTTTCTCTTTTTATCAACAGGTTCGTTGGGCTGACCTTGAGGAGAAAAAACACATGGAACACAGAAGAAGAATAGGGTTCTGTATTGGAACAGACTGGAGCATCCTTACWGATCCCCATGCTAAGATACCTGAACATTAATCACACTGTTTGTTTTCTTTTTCTTTTGTAATATATAAGGTAATTCAAGAATCAATTCCTAAGGTGTTTTTAAGTCAAACATTTATTATTATCATCATCATCATCATCGTTCGGCTGTTACACAGTCGACTACAAGACGTTTCCAGTTGACCCGGTCTTGGGCAGTTCGTAGAATGTCTGATTCAGTGAAATTGCCAGTTATTCTGATAATTTTAAATTACTTAAAAGTAATCATCGTACTTAAAAAGCACTGAATGAAAACGTATCATTATAAGAAGTGGACGTTTCTAGTCATAAAATGTACTGTTGGATTCAAAAAACGTCTAAAATTCTGAATCGCCATATGGCCTATCCAAAATTATATGCTTATTATTAGATTGGACGTCACTACATCGAGAAGTAATAAGTATATTATAGATTTTTCTTACCAGACATTTATACAAACATTTATTCCTAAAAAGTGGTTCTACATATAATATACAACGGTATTTCTTCTGTATAGTTTTGAATTATGTTTATTTTCTTCCTATTTTATAGGCCCTAAAGAGTCTAACCCATCAAGCCACAGTGTTCCGTCACAAATAACGACGTTGATGTTGATATACGAGTTTGGCTAATCGTTTTAAAAGGTTTTAGCTTTAGGTAATACATCATATCCCTAATAAGGGTGATATGTACAAATAAAACTAAGCGTGGGAGGGGAGGGACATTTACTCAATTGCCTAACCTCTTGTGATAGTCGTAGTTGTAATCACTTACAACGCTTTCGCTCATGTGTAATAAAATAAGAAAATGACTTCCATGTGACTATTAGAAGGTAAATTTCGAAATCGAAATCTTCGAATTTGTACAAAAAGAAAGCAAAAAAGAAATTGACGAAAAATTCAGTCGGACAACTATTATGGCGCGAGAAACGTCTAATTTTAGAGATAGAAAAACTGACGCCAAAAAGAAATTTGATTATCTATCTTCCTTTAACCACAAAATGAAAATTAAATGATCCAAATGCTGCTTTACGGCCATTTCATAAAATAGCCGCATGGGATTGTGTCTTTAAGCGGAATAAAAACGGTATCGACCGGCCGGTCAGATTCGGCTAAMAAATAGTCGACGAGCATCTTGGTCATATTAAACATGAWTTCRCCCCTTTCCCTCATAGAATTCTTCGCTRTCGTCGGTCAGTGTCGGAGTAAATGAAAACTGTATTTTGGCTCGCTTTGTATTCTCTTTAATGAAAAAAATTGATRCGTAGTTAGACTTGGTATTGACAAAACAAAAATATAACATACGTTGATGCCAATTATACTACAAGCAATTGTCGACGAACTGAATAGGTAAAGGTCGAACAGCTAACAGTCGTTTGTTAAGAAATGTCAAATCCACAAAAAATAATCCGGTTCTTCGTCGGGTGAGTCAATCACTGAAACTAATCGAAAACAAAGAGAGGGGTATCGAATAGTCGCACGGAATTTCACATTGCTTGGAAATTCTATTTGTGACTTGCGCGAAAAAAATTATTTTACTCGCGAAATGTTGCAGCTGCTTATATGCTAGATTTCTTGTTAAAACCTCATCAAAATGCTCGCCAATGGCGAGAAAAATGATTGAAAATAATTGACTTGTGCGAAAGAAAATGTACACCGTTCAATACCCCTACGAAAAGGTCATTTTCGAGCTCTACTTTTGTCCAATTGGGAAATTTATGTACACTTGTTAAATGATTTCGATCGATTATCTGATATATGTTGCTTATAAACAACAATGAGTCAAGGTATGGTTCCATAACAGAGTAGTATGGTTAGTTCGATAACCATACTACATGAACCATAGAAAAGTTCCCGCAATCTTGTATACCCCGAGTACAGGMCCGTTTATAAAACACACATCACAAACGATTATCGCCCTTAGGATCACAAAACTCTGACTAAAAAGCAGAAGTGCTTCTATCCTCACCTTATCCAAAAAAAAAACTTCCGCATTTATACACCTGGAGGAACGCAACTTCATCGTATGTATAATCCGCTGTATAATGTAAAATATAGGATGGGAAATGGGATATTGCGCTATTTGGCTTGATTTTACTGAGGTATCAGCAGTAAATCGTAATGGGATTCAGATTTGAAAAGAGGAAGAAGAAAAAAATGAACGTTAAGTTGGCTGATTTCGATGGACCGGGTTGATCCTAAAACTGAAAGCATAAACAACAAGTTCACCAATTGATAGCATACCACATCAAAATCATATAAATGGGCTATAAAAACGTCAGGGTTGTTTGCATTGTGGTCTTGCAGTATTAACCATTGGTGTGTATACGTTTCACGCCAGATACGTTTTACGATGAAAGGGAAAAAAAGCTCTGGAAATCTTTGTTGTTTACTCGGAATATTGAGCAAATAAAAATTAAAGCGGTTGTGATATAAAGCGGGATGAATATGAGAAGTACGATGAAACATCTCAAGAATGTTTTCGCTCGTCTAAAATTTTCACCATATTTTTGTGGTGATCAACATCTCGCAAATCGTAGCCTGAGTATCAGGCTCTCTCGAAGGGGTTTGGGGCGGAGCGAGAAAGGAGAGAGAGGCTCTCTCTCCTTTCTCGCTCCGCCCCAAACCCCTTCGAGATAGCCTGATACTCAGGCTACGCAAATCGTAATGTCGTCCTCAGTTTGATGCTCCTTGAAATGCCCTTGGGTGAGCGGTTGACCCTAAGAGTCCAGATGGTGGTCTAATCGTCGGTTGTCAGTTAAAATTTGAGACATTGCCGGTTAACTAAATATTAATATGCACTCGTCAATCCGATTTTCAGACAACGGTTGGAATTAGCCTCTTCCCCAAGGAACCCCATCTGTCGGGATTCCTTTTCCACTTTGACCGTTAGTCCCGAGGCCTTCCTCGCTATCACTCCCATTCCTACTCTTTATTCTTGTCCTACCAATTGAGTAAATTTGTAAGTTAGGAATCATTTTACAGTCCAGTTGGTAAATGGTATACTTTGTATTTGTCGGTGATTGGTTATTTCTATATGATTTAAATGGAACAAAGTAGTTATCGATCTTCCGCTCCCGATTTATCAAGCCGCGGCTGTAATCATCAGTTTTCAAATTGATATCCAAAAGAAATCGTGATTCAATCCCAAAACAAAGCGACTTGGGACAAAGATACCAAGAGTACCATAAGCAATGTAGACGACCACTGTTATTCTAAGTACGGGTGAAGCTGTTTTCATTTGACTATGACCTATGTATATAATTAGTATTTGAGATGCCAACATTAAAATACTATATCCTCAGAGGGGGCCCATTAAAGGTTGGCGGTTTGACGATTTCTGCTGATTTTAGAGGTCGGTTTTCCGTATTGATCTTGAGATCGTGCACAAGCGCTGGGTTCGGCTTGAAAAATTTGCAAATATTTTAAAATACATGGGATCACTCAATTTTTTTTGGGATCGGGGATGGAATTTAACCATAATTTTGAGATCAGAGATTGATGGAAGAATTTTCTCATGTTACGACCCTGAAGTGGATACAGCAATTTTTAAGTTTTTAAAAAGAGCGCTGAGACTGCACATGGAGCAAGCAAGGATTAGGTCCCCACAACGCTGATAGTTCAAAGACACACTCCCAGTTTGCCGAATTGATGAAGGGGCATGTCGATTTGGGCCGACACCGGTAATGGTGAGATCGAAGTCTTTTTTTGACCAATCGGTGATACCTCTGGTTGTGAAATTATGGTGTCAAGTTGTTTAGAAATCAATGCTCTGATTTAGTTTTATAAATAGAGTATCGATGGGAGAATTGGAAACAGAGCACATCGACATAGATCGTGTTATAATGTTGATTTTTCATTTTTGTTTTTAACAACTCATCTTTCGAGGAGTTATCCCTGTTTGGGTTAGTCCAATATTCCTGTAAACATCTTCCAAATAATAAGAAACTTTAAAAAAATTAAACAAACTCTTTTCATCGTTGATGTGAAATGAACTAATGCTTGGTCTCATTGACCTCAATTGTCTCTGACCTCTTTGTTCAGTTTTCTCTGTACTCCAAACGTAAATTCAAAACATTCAAGCAAGAGCGGATCTAGCTGAAATTTTAGGGGGGGGATTGTTTTAAGGGGGGCTAAATGGGCTTTATTTATTATAAGCAACATTGAAAATAATAAAAAAACAGTTTTACCTTTTATCTCAAAGGAGGGGCTACAGCCCTCCTTTGCCCCTCCCTCCCTGGATGCGCTCAAGGCCATCTCTAATCAAGTGAAATTAGTGTTCTTCCGAATTCTCGATTTATTGTTTTCTTTATTCACATCTTAAAGGAGAATACAGATCTCTGAAAAATAAACAAACAAACAAAAACACATGAAAAAAAGCGCTTCCCACGATTTCGTTTTCCATCGAAAGATATGGGGCTTGCCCTATCAGAGGAGAACCCAGAACTTCAAGATGAAGGAGCCATGTCTCAAAGCTATATCAGCCAGAATGGTATATCCTACCGAAGATATCACATCCATGATCTCCAAGATTGTATACTGTTTGCAATCCACCTCGTGAACCACGATACGTACTTTGAATATCTAACCTCTCCGCTGAAGGCTAAGACCGGGCTTTACGTATAACGATACAGGACAAAATATCGGGAAATTATTAATGACATCGAATTTCTACCATATATAATTTCCTTGCAAGGGCAGAAACGCAGTGTTTGACGTAGGCCAGTAAATCTGAACAGGTAACAGGGTTCTCTTCAACCGGCGTCCTGGACACGCACCTGCGTATATTCTGATGTCGATAAAACCAATTTCAGATAACACTAAGGCGAACGTGCTAGGATGTATATGTTTGTACGTTGAAGTATTGTCCTGCGATATCAATAGATTTGTACGAATGTGTAAAAATTAAAGCACTGATCACCTAAGTTAAAGTAGAGGAGGTATTCATCGGTATTCATTGGGTGTCCGCGCTTTCCTTCCGTGATCATAAAATCCCAAGAGCTATGACGATACAAAGTCGTCAATATCATCTCGTACCGTTGCTATACCAAATTGGTGGCGCTGATTAGAATTCTTTCTATGATAACAAGTATGAGGTGTTCTAACTTGAATACCATGACAGAGGTGTTGTTCTCCAAASACGGGGTCGATGAGGGGTCTAGTAGGGCTTTTGACATCGAGAGATCTTCATTTACGGATGGTCAAGTTGCAGCGGAGGGCTGGTTGCTTAACCAGTAATGATTTGGTGACGAACACCTCGGGAATTGCCCAATGATCGATGAATGGGCGAAGAGAGATGACGCTTTATTGACGGAATAAGTACTTCAGATGACTCTCCTTGAGGACTCTCCTAGCCCCTATTAAAACATTGTGRTCGATACCAGCGGTAAAATGGATTGAAAGAGCTTGATATGAAGSCGGGACTTATATCAAGCTCTTTCATTACACAATTACGATAAACTGTGTCATTTCTAAATGAATTGTATTTCGTTTTTCCCAAAATCATGTAGCCGAGAAAGTGGTGAAGGCACGAAGTCTTTCGCAGAAACTTTGAAAACTCTCGACTAATCAATGCAGGAACGCTTCCAGATTTTATTAAGGGGGGAGGGGGCGGGKTGCAGATCATCCAAGGAGGGGATGCACTCTACAAACATGTTCAAATAAGTGGAAAATTTTAAAAGGCAGAAGGTTTGATCAGCGGGTGCGCATGCTCTGCATCCACCAGCTGGATCCGCCACTGATTTCAATTGTGGATGCTGAGTGGGCTTCCATGGGTTCCACCCCTCGAGCAACAAATGAAATCTTAAAAAAATGATAATGATTAAATTACAACGGGTCTAATGATGAATTTTTATCGAGTTCATGCTTCTGAATCAAAGTTGACATGTGCTTCTTGTCCCATTGAGGACATTTCTCCATCGTTTATTTGTATCACTTTCTTAATAAGGAATTTATAAAATCACGGTGGAACCCCACTTTTGAAAAACCTTGGATGTGCCACGGGAAATGGTTGGTGTTGTGGTTCACTCATTCAGCTATACCGTGTATTCAAAGAGCTGACTGATCTTCCAATTCTATTAAAACTCTCCATTGATAACCATATATTATTCTGATTGTCATTGCCCGATAAATATCTCTTTGMAAGGCACTTGTATTTATAGTATATCAATTGCATGGGGGTTCCGAAAACAAATCTAACCACCTGCGACTCGTGCATTGTCAACGTGTTCGTTCTAAAAAGCGTGAAAAAAATTTAATTGGCCTATTCAAAGTCTTTGCACGGAAGTCTTTATAGTTTAGGTTTACCACCTGTTACCCCATAGGATGTCAGTCTAAATATCGATGTCATCAGTTGACACATTAATTGCAGTCGAGACTTGTAGAAACCTTTTAGCTCCTTTTGTAAAGAACACTGAAGTGTCAAACTTCTGGCTGGGTTTTACGTGTTGTTCTCAGCCAAACGTCTAGATATATGGTGATAGTGAACTCCGGTCATTTCATTAATTTGCCTACGATTCATCAATGGATTAAGTGAGAAGGTCTTTGAAGTTTGTGATCGTGATAAAAGAGAGTTTTCTTGGTGATKTTTAAGTATATCCCGTTCCAACAATAGACGATGGAACGTTACATCATTTAGATTACCACCATGTTGCTTGAAAATAAAATGAGCAATTCATTGTTTTCTAGTGCACGTTCATCCATCATGGCGGTTGTGCTATGAAAACTTTAAGCACTGATCAATGTATGAATTTATAACCTTTTTTTGGTCTTGTAATTCCCAATAGCCACTTCATGGAAGTCATTTTCTTTTGCAATGTTGCRAGCTTTTTCTTTAATTATGCATATTGATATTATTTTTGACTGCCGCTAACAAACTAACGATCCATTTCAGGGTGAAACAAGACACCACGAAAAGACCAACTGTGTTACATTCACGTGAGGGAAAAATGGTGAGTGAGGTGAATCAACTGTCGACACTATACCACGATAACAGAAGGTGACAGACATTCAAATACATTGAAACATCTCACAAAGTAAACATCAGCATGTTATGACAACTGCTGTCACTGGCTAAGGTGATCTACCTACTCAAAACAGTATCCCAGGTGGCATTGCGTTAGACGCATTGAGTGAGTCACATCACTGATACTAGGCGGACATTTTAGCCATTGATGGCAGATTATTTCTGGTAAAATCSAGTTGATCTATCTAATTCTTATCTATTTCCAAGGGTCTTTAGCTCTGAATAACCTTCTTTCTGACCATTAGAACTTTCCTATCATTTATAATTCGTAAAAAAACATGATTGAGATGACCATTCGATTTTGAACTTTTAATTTTAACTTGTTTTAATTTCATATTCGACGGTAACATTGAACTCTAGATTACATTATTGATTATGGCCCGTCCCTGACATACTGCTCAATCACGATCACAGTCTGTTGATGGTGATGGCGTCGATATTCCACAAACTACTCCCGCCTCCTCCCATCCTTTATAACAATGGTGAACTCCCCATCCACGGCTTGGACATTGGTCCAGAGAGGTTTCGTTTCCATTACATCCGACATTATCTAGAAGGAACGGAGCTCTTCCTGAGCCAAAGCGTGCTTGTCCTGGTGCTGACACTGCAGGGGGTAGATTTAGTTGACGGCAAACTACATTGGCATCTATGATATCCCAGGAGTCATCGCAAACTGTTCCCCATTGACCGTTGTGGTACACTTCCACTCTTCCCTCATTGGCATGGCTTCCATTGACAAGTCTAACTGTGGGTCCTGGTGCTAGAAAAAAGACAACGAAGCGATTACACAGATTAAATAATATACAGCAGGCAGAAGTCATGTATGAATCCAGGATCGTAATCAATGGAAAAAAAAGAAACTATGGACATTCTTT